ATTTGGCGTCAGTTTTGTTTAAAGGTTGTCGAAATCTGAAAAAAAAAAATTGATTGAAATCTGGGTTTTGTTTTCAGTTGCATAGCAGTCTGAAGAAGATGAAGAAGACCTCAAAAATTGATTGAAATCTGGATTGAATTCTGGATTTTTCTTTTTTTTTTTATATTATTTTTTTCACTTTATTAACCGCTGTTAAATCATATCTTTTAGCATATTCTATTTTGTAAGTTTTTGTTTTTTATATTATTTAATAGATATTAAAAAAAATAAAAGATAAACAGAGAAAATATTTTTATTTTTATGAAGTATATAGACCTAAAAAAACCTCAAAAGTGTTGGGTTTTAAAGAGACTTCACTACTTTGGAGATAAACATCTCCAAAGAAGAATGTAATGCAGCGGAAATTGATAGGCAAGAGAAAAAGAACACTCAAGGTATAACACACAAAAACCTTTTATTCTCACACAAACTAATACAAGAGGAATCACTCAAAACACTCTTAGAAGCTATGGATGCTTCTTCTACTTATTCTCTTTTCTTTTAGGTAGAGAGCCTTCTTGTCTCTCTTACTTCTTCTTCTTTCTCTTTTCTTCACTTCTCATTCTTAAACATAACAACATACTCTATTTATAGGCAAGTATAACCAACCATACCAAGTGTGAATACCAAGTGTGAAATCATCCTAGCCATTATTCATGACTCTACTAAAAGTAGCCCACCACCATGGACTTTGCTTATGGACACAATGAACACATGCCATTCTTATGCTAGAATTGTCAAGCATTTTCAATGCATGCACCGGCCACTTTTCTAGAAGCAAGATTACCATTCAACAAAAAGACCCTAAAAAAACTCAAAATATATCTTTACTTTTTAACGTTATACATTACCCTTTAGTTTTCTTTTTAAGACTCCACATCCACATATCTCATCAAAATATTATGTATATGTATGTATGTATGTATGTATTGTATGTATATTAAAAAATTTAAGTTCCGTAAGGTTTCGCCTCACGCCTCAAGGCTTTCGTTTAGACGGAGCTATCCATAACACGCCTCATCTACGCCTTCGCCTTTTAAAACATTGATACTGATTAACATTATTCGTGACAAGGGTACCATTTAATTTAGTCATCTCTCATACATACACATCTTCTCTTTGTTTTTCAAGCTTAATTATGGCAGAGTTTGAAAGTGTCAAATTTTTTAAGATTTTGATTTTTGACGTTTATTTATCCAGCAATATTGCGCACGAATCTCTGCTTCTGCACAGCTACAAGAGAACCTTCAATGGCTTTGCTGCCAAGCTAACAGAGGAAGAAGCACAGAAGTTGGCTGGTTGTCTTATGAACCCAACTTAATTTTATTTTTCAACTTGAATAAACATTAAAAGTGACCGTTGTATGACTTGAAAAATATATGCAGGAATGGATGGTGTGGTGTCTGTTTTCCCTAGTGAAACTAAGAAGCTCCAAACAACAAGGTCATGGGACTTCATTGGGTTTCCTAAAATAGTGAAGAGAAGCGCCATTGAAACTGATATCATTGTCGGGGTGATTGACTCTGGAATTTGGCCTGAATCTGCCAGCTTCAGTGACGCCGGGTTTGGTCCACCCCCCAAAAGGTGGAAAGGCGCATGCAAGGGCGAAGGCAATTTTACTTGCAACAAGTAAAGCAAACCAGTTTATTTCAACCATCCACTGCACATTTCAAAAAACTAAAAAACAAAACATCTCGTGTTGTTGTTAATTACACTTGGACAGAAACAAAAAGTGCGAACTTGATTTATATGATATGTTGTCAAATTGTAACTCTGACTTAAATAATATGACATACTGTTGTTACACTTGGACAGTAAAATTATCGGAGCACGGTATTACCGCAGTCAACCCTACCCACAAAATAGCAGTGATATCTTGTCTCCGAGGGACACGGATGGCCATGGAACCCACACTGCATCAACAGCAGCAGGGAACTTAGTTAGCAAGGCAAGTCTGTATGGTTTAGGGTTGGGGACAGCAAGAGGAGGGGTGCCATCAGCACGCATTGCGGTGTACAAAGTTTGTTGGTCAGATGGGTGCCCGGATGCTGATATTCTAGCGGCATTCGATGATGCCATAGCTGACGGTGTTGACATACTCTCTGTCTCCCTTGGGGGGTTTAAACCGTTAGATTATTTCAGAAATTCCATTGACATTGGAGCTTTTCACGCTTTAAGAAAAGGAATATTCACTTCCGCGTCTGCTGGCAATGAAGGGCCAAACCTGAAAACTATTACAAACTTTGCACCATGGTATCTTGCTGTGGCTGCTAGCACCATAGATCGCCACTTTGATACCAAGGTTCTTGGGCAGATGGCACTCAGAATATTTATCTAGAGAGATACTAGAGAATTGATTAAACATGAAAGTTGATTATGATTTGTTTTTGCTTCCTTGGTAGGGAATAGTAACAAACACATTTGAACTCAAGGGTAAATTCTACCCCATAGTATATGCTGCAGACGTTCCAGATACGGCAGCTGGTTACGATGGGGAAACATCCAGGTATGTGTACGCATTTTGAGAGTATATATACCATTTATATTGAAGAACCACGGTAGTCTAGCATAAGTCTAACCAGGTGCTAATAACATGGATATATATATGGAGCAGGTTATGCCGAATAGGCACGTTAGACAAAAAATTGGTGGAGGGTAAAATTGTTCTTTGTGATGGGCCTACTGGGTATGGGGCTATATATGCAGGCGCATTTGGTTATGTTTTGACAAGCCGAAAAGCAGCAGATGTAATCGATCCTGTTCCAATACCAGCAGCTTCCATTTGGTTCCACCTTGGTAACGAAATTGCCCATTACCTAAACTCAACCAGGTATCAATATTTGAGAATGACAGTGCATGATTGATTTAAAATATTACTAATGCGCCCGTTTGTTAGAGTAGGGCCCAACGGGCCTGTTGATCCAAAAATTCCAGTGAGCTTGTCACCAAGAAGGAAACAAGCCAGGACTCTTAACAAAGAGCCGGCATCTGAGTTCCTTTAAAAACAAGTCTAGACTCTTAACATAGAGCTGACCTCCGAGTTTCAATTGCCGATGTGTTGATCTCTACGTATGAACCACTAAATGGGGTTACACGTGAGGGGAAGTGTTGGAATCCTACATCGATGGGTGCAAAAGAAAATAACGGGTTTAAGTATGATTGCCCCATTCTAACTAATATCGAGGCCTTCTGTAATAAAATCTCACACCTGACGGATTGGGTATGTAGTAAAGTTAAGGACATTATTAATGTTGTTAGAGTAGAGCCCAACGGGCCCCCCGATCCAAAAATCCAACAAAACTAACATAAATCAAAAGACCCCTTTTATGTTATTGCTAATAAATCCTGAATCCCTGTAATGATTCGCAGGAACCCAACCGCAACAATTTGGAAAAGTACTGAGGGTATGGATGCACTGGCACCATACGTACCTTCATTCTCATCAAGGGGTCCAAATCCAAACACTCCTAACATTCTCAAGGTAACTTCAAGGCCCCGTAGGTGTGTGAATGCTGACTTAAAAAAATGAACAAACCGAATCATGAATATTGAGGGGTCTTAATTTTCCTCCTTGTTTTCTCCTATATGTTGCAGCCAGATATCGCTTCTCCTGGAGTTTCCATTCTAGCAGCATGGTCTCCAATTGCCCCAGTTTCAGGTTTTGAAGGTGATGACAGGGTAACTTCATACAATATTATCTCGGGGACATCAATGGCATGCCCACATGCTGCGGGCGTGGCTGCATACGTCAAATCATTTCACCCCAATTGGTCACCTGCTGCTATCCTGTCAGCTCTTACGACTACTGGTATAGATGCATTTTCATAAATGTACCAATTACAATACAACCGTTCTCTCACATATTTGATGAGTTGTGTGACCAATTATTATCAGAGATCATGTGACCAAGTCTTGTGAGAGAGACACTACATATAATTAGACTTTGACCATGATGTACATTGTATTACCTAAGATTTATATGTTTGATTAATTTGTAACGATTTTGCAGCCAAACCTATGAGTGCAAATCTTAACCCTGAAGCCGAATTCGCGTACGGTGCTGGCCTACTAAATCCTAGTAGGTCTCCGTATCCTGGTTTGGTATACGACGCTGTTGAAATCGATTACGTAAATTTTTTGTGTGCACAAGGCTATAGTACCAAATTATTGAAAGCTCTTACCGGGGATAGCTATAGCTGCTCATCATCACAATCTAGTCATGGAACACTCAGTGATCATCTAAACTATCCTTCTGTTGCACTTTCCACCTCGAACCCTAAATCCGTCAAAGGCATTTTCAATAGGACCGTCACAAATGTTGGATCACCAAAGTCCACATATAAAGCTAAAGTGAGTGCACCACCAGGACTTGAAATCAAAGTTAATCCAAGCGTTCTAAAGTTCACATCTCTCGGGCAGAAGCTATCGTTTCAAGTCATGGTGAAAGGGTTGATTGAAAAAACCATAGTCTCTGGTTCTCTGGTGTGGGATGATGGTAAATTCCAAGTGAGGAGCCCCATTGTTGTGTATTTTGTGTTTTGAGAACAATATGTGTAATAATGTATGATGCATGAATAAGCAATTGCATGAAACTAGATAGGGCTTCAATGAAACAAAATTGCAACATATTGATCACGATGATGTATTTTAAATGAAAACTAAATTATTATATATTTATGAACCTTTAATATGATGTAGTACATCGAAGTACATTGAAATTTGAAACGTACCCATTTAAGGATATTTTATAGCTCTCTATGCAATCTAATTGTATATTTGATAGTTCATTTTTGGTCTGCATGGGAAATATGGATTTTCTCCTATGTTGATTACTTGATTGAAGGCCCCATCCCTCGTTGCCCGTTTATACAGGTTGTACCTATCACTAAATCAAGTTATCAACGAGACTTTAGTCGGAACCTTCCTGATTAAAAACAAAAGACCGAAAAACTTCGGTGGGGACATTTGCAAACAACGACGTATACACATGAAAAATATCAGAGTAGCATCATGTATCGGTGGCATAAAAATCTTTACGCACCCACGTGTTCTAGATGTTGGCACATGATCATGCATCGATAGATATACGTATGCACAATGCATGCCCTACCATGCAAATTATGCCAAGAACAACAATCAATCGAGTGACCAGTGGTGGGAGAGCTAGGAATATTAGCAAGCTGCATTTTCTCAATTCCCACTCTCACTTGTTTGAGCATACCGACTAAGATGCTTGTTTCTTGACTTGTGGATGTATCCCAAGGTCAATATGGATGCATGGCATGCGATGTACGTCAGGAGGTTTTTCTTCTTTTCAAAAGCAGTATATGTTGGAAAAGTTAGACATGGAATTGATACCACAGTTAATATGCTTTTGTACCTCATTCCCTATAACCAAAAATTGCTTCAAGTAAAAATTACCTTATTTCGCAACATTTCTTCAACTGGCTACTGGCTCTCTAGTTTTTCAATTGTCATCATGGTCCAAGTACCTAAGCTGGGTCGGATCATTTTCTTCTTTGAGCAGAAGGACGTTAACCATCGGATTACCCTCGATGATTGCACATGTTATGCACTAAGAAAAGGTTGCAAGCGGTTATTTGCTTGTAGAGCTACCGGCTGCCTTATAGTACAAACTAGAAAGTTCTACCCGAACGTTGCTGCAGGATTAAAAATTGTGTAAAAAAAATTATGTTTCAAAGGTATAAACCTATCAACTTGTATCACATCTAACTGAACTACAACAACATATTGAAACACTTAATATGAAATTCATAAGCTATTTGACAATATGAAATCAAGCAATTATTGAAAATCAGAAACGGAGCTTAGAAAGTAAAAAATCCTACCTCATTATATTAAAACAATTAACAAATTCTCGGTGAATGATCACAAAAAATGCTCAGTTCTCACCATAATGAAAATTATGACATCGTTTTAACATGAACTCGAGTTCATTTTAGTCACCAGCATTAATAAAACAAGTGACTTCAACCTGTGCAAGGAAACAACTGACTTAGACGCAAGCCAACCAACTTTGAATCTAACCAAATAAAAAAAGTAATCACAATCGAACTAACCTCTTCTTCCCAAATGAAGTAGATGTCCCCTGTTTTGCCATTGTGAACAGTGTACTCTACTCTCAACACACAAAAAGAACACACTCAAATTGCTGAGCAATATTATAAAAGCTACACATACATCATTGTATATATATTTGGACATAAAGTATAAAGATCTGCTGACAGTATCAAGCTTAAATTTAACAAAAGCAGTAATTACGAATTGAAATCAAACGATAATATGGTTGTTAAAAAAAATTCTAACTAAATTTTACAAATAGCATCATAAATGTTAAAAAAAAATAACACCATTGAAAAAACTCATTACTCAAATATGTAATTCTATAAAAACACATCACTGAAAACTTCAATTTCATGTCAACCTATATCACATCCAAAACCCATTAATAATCTCTTCTTGTGTATAGCTTGTCCTCAGAATTCGCAGCTGAAAACGGAATGTAAGTTCAGAGTATGATGAAAAAGAAGAAATGAAAGAGTTGTGTCAATGAAAAAAAATGAGAGAGCGGGTATCAGAACAATCTACAAAGAAGAAGAATTTGAGATAAATAAGTGGATAAATTGCTTACATGAAGAGCTGATTTCAAATCGATGATCCATTTCTCACCCAAATAATATTTAACAATTGCAATTAGTAAAATTTTCTTGATAAGATGAAATCTAGGAGCATAATAATAAGCATTAGAAATAGAAAAGCCTTATATGGTGATTAAGGCCCTTAATTAACTTGCGAAGCTTGAAAAGTCATTCTCTTCACGTGGTTAATTTGGAAGTTATCCAATGTATGTAAAAACATGAATCAGAAGCAAATTGATGAAATCGGAGGGAAAAAATGTTACTTAGTAATTGTATATGTTATGAAGGCATCAAATAAAGTCCTGATAAAATACCAGCATCTTTATATTAACCACTTTACATATAAATTATAAATGATTATCAAACATCCTTAAACAAATTTCATTTAGGGAAGACTGATGAGGGAACTCCGCCTATGTAATTTTACATTGCCGGTCCCAAGCCCGGATAAAGGAGGAGGGGGAGGGCGTCAGGTAGTCGACAGCCTGCACTCCATGATCACGTCGAATCCTTATGAAAATGAATCCAGAACAAAATCGCGCTAAAGCTAGGGCGTCACCCGTAAGTGGCGCGCTGTGTGGCCCGAGCACAGTGATAAGTGAGCAAGGGTCGCTGTATCTCCATCGGCACCCGGATGCAGTGTTAAATGAGCAAGGGGGCCGTAGAAACTTCTTTTCGAACGACTCCACTCAAAGTTGTTTGGGAGCATATGCTCCTATCAACTTTACACGGGACACACAAAAGAAGTACTTTGATCCTATTAGACGGGGGAGGGTGAAGAAGCTAGGACAGAAGGGTAGAGTTCAAGAGAGCAAAATGCGTTTAGGAACGTGGAATATAGGAACCTTAACGGGAAAATCTATGGAAGTAGTGGAAGTTATGGTGAGGAGAAGGATAAATATTATGTGCCTACAAGAAACTAAGTGGGTTGGTAGTAAGGCAAATGATCTAGAAAACTCAGGGTTTAAACTTTGGTATTCGGGCACAAATAGAACGAGAAACGGTGTTGGCATCATCGTGGACAAGACCTTGACACAAGATGTTGTAGATGTCAAGAGGGTAGGAGATAGAATCATGGCAATCAAGATTGTAATAGGACAAGAACTTATCAATGTGATTAGTGCGTACGCACCTCAAGTAGGGTTGGATACGAGTTCGAAGGAGAAATTTTGGGAAGACCTTGGAGACTTGGTGCAAGGAATTGCTCAGACGGAGAAGTTATTTATAGGAGGAGATCTAAATGGACACGTGGGCAGGGAGACAGGCAACTATGGAGGTTTTCATGGTGGCCATGGTTTTGGAGAGAGAAACGAGGATGGGGAAGCTATCTTGGATTTTGCAATGGCATATGATCTCTTCTTAGCCAACACCTTCTTTAAGAAGAGAGAAGAACATGTGATCACCTACAAGAGTGGGTCGTCAAAAACACAAATAGATTTTCTTCTAATGAGGAAAGGGGATCGTATAACTTGTAAGGATTGCAAAGTTATACCAGGAGAGAGCGTGGCTAATCAACATCGCTTGTTGGTGATGGATGTACATATCAAAAGAGGGAGACAAAAGAACAAGACTTGGAAGTGCCCAAGGACTAGATGGTGGAATCTAAAAGAAGAAAAACAAGCCATTTTCAAAGAGAAGGTAATCACCCAATGTGTGTGGGATAGAGAGGGGGAAGCTAGCCAAATGTGGGATTCCATGGCTAGTTGTATCCGAAAAGTAGCAAAAGAGGTATTAGGAGAGTCCAAGGGCTTTGCCCCACACCAAAAGGAATCTTGGTGGTGGAATGAGGAGGTACAAACAAAGGTGAAGGCTAAGAAGGAATGTTGTAAAGCCTTATACAAGGAGAGGACCGATGAAAATGGTGAAAGGTATAGAAAAGCGAAGCAAGAGGCGAAGAAAGCGGTCAGAGAAGCTAAGTTAGCGGCTTACGACGATATGTATAAACGACTAGATACCAAAGAAGGAGAGTTGGATATCTATAAAACTAGCTAGAGCAAGGGAAAAGAAGACAAGGGACCTAAACCAAGTGAGGTGCATCAAGGATGAGGATGGAAAGGTTCTTGCTACAGAGAACGCGGTTAAAGACAGATGGAGAGGTTATTTTCATAATATTTTCAATGAAGGACATGAAAGGAGTGCTTCTTTAGGGGAGTTGAGTAACTCAGAAGAGTGTAGAAACTACTCTTTTTATCGTCGAATCCGGAAGGAAGAAGTGGTTGTAGCTTTGAAGAAGATGAAGCATAGAAAAGCAATAGGCCCAGACGATATACCAATTGAAGTGTGGAAAGTTTTGGGAGAGACAGGTATAACATGGCTCACTGACCTTTTCAATAGGATTTTGAAAACAAAGAAGATGCCAAATGAGTGGCGAACGAGCACTTTGGTGCCTATCTACAAGAATAAGGGCGACGTACAAAATTGCATGAACTATAGGGGTATTAAGTTAATGAGTCATACAATGAAGCTCTGGGAGAGAGTCATTGAGCATAGATTGAGGCAAGAGACACGGGTTTCGGACAACCAATTCGGGTTCATGCCAAGGCGCTCAACCATGGAGGCAATCTATCTCTTACGAAGATTGATGGAAAGATATAGAGATGGGAAAAAGGATTTACACATGGTCTTTATAGATTTGGAAAAAGCGTATGATAGGGTCCCAAGAGACATTCTTTGGAGGATCTTAGAGAAGAAAGGAGTACGAGTAGCATATATCCAAGCTATAAAGGATATGTATGAAGGAGCAAAGACTGCCGTAAGAACTCATGAAGGACAAACCGAAAGCTTTCCCATAACTGTAGGATTACATCAAGGCTCATCCTTAAGTCCTTACCTTTTTGCGTTGGTAATGGATGAGTTAACAGGACATATTCAAGATGATATTCCTTGGTGTATGCTTTTCGCAGACGATATAGTGTTGATAGATGAAACTCAGGAAGGGGTAAATGCAAAGCTTAACCTTTGGAGAGAAGTGTTGGAATCTAAAGGTCTTCGCCTAAGCCGATCAAAGACAGAATATATGGAGTGCAAGTTCAGTGCAGATGGAGGCCAAAACGAGTTAGGGGTGAGGATCGGAGATCAAGAAATACCAAAGAGCGACCGTTTTCGTTACCTAGGATCTATCTTGCAAAAGAACGGAGAATTAGATGGAGATCTCAACCATAGAATACAAGCTGGATGGATGAAGTGGAAGAGTGCATCTGGCGTGTTGTGTGATCGCCGTATGCCATTGAAGCTCAAGGGAAAATTTTATAGGACGGCAATAAGGCCGGCGATGCTGTATGGCACAGAATGTTGGGCGGTGAAGCATCAACACGTACACAAAATGGGTGTAGCGGAGATGAGGATGCTTCGTTAGATGTGTGGGCACACGAGAAAGGATAAAATTAGGAATGAGGATATCCGGGGTAAAGTAGGAGTAGCCGAAATTGAAGGAAAGATGAGAGAAAATCGGTTACGGTGGTTTGGACATGTGCAAAGAAGGCCTACTGACGCTCCGATTAGAAGATGCGACTATGGGACAGAGGTTCAGGGCCGAAGGGGTAGAGGAAGACCTAGGAAAACTTTGGAAGAGACTCTAAGAAAAGACTTAGAGTACTTGGATCTAACGAAGGACATGACACAGGACCGAGCACAATGGGACGTTCTAAGGCGTTCTAATTCATATAGCCGATCCCACTCAGTGACTTGGATTTTCCAAGTCTCCAACCGAGAAGTTTTCCTCACTCGAAAAATTAAGGGAACACTACCCCAACCTACATGCTCCACTCAGAAAGCTTCAACATACAAGCTTCAACAAAAGAAAATTCAAAAGAACTTAGTGAAGAAGGCTTTGGTGTATTTAACACAATACGTTGAAATGAAGGAAAACTTATTTATTGATATCCCCGATAAGCTACAAATATGTACATATACATGAGTCAAAATAAACAAACAAGATGGAGCCTTCACAAAGGTTGCTTAGGAGAAGTCTCAGCAGTCGGTAGAGCCCCAGAAAGAGAAGGCATCGGAGGGGGATCATTCGGAGCCTCAGTACTGGACAGAACCCTAGAAGGAGGAGGCATCAGAGGTTGATCATTTGGAGCTTCATTACGCGGTACAGCCCCAGAAGACGAAGGCAATAAATGCCTTTGGAACAAACCCACAAATCTCTGATGATCAAGTAAAACCTGACCATCAGTTTCCTTCATCTGGTCAAGCTTCCTCTTTCATGTTTGTAGCATAGTCATGTGCGAGCCGGTGCAACTGTTTATTCTCATGCTTGAGCCCTCTAATCTCCTGTTTGAGACTCATCACTTCGGCCGCCAATGATTTCAACTTGGCGGGTTCGAGCAAATAT